AATAGTCCGACAATTATGAGAGATGGGGGGTTAAAGAAAATTTTCCTAATTTTAATATATGATTTAATACAGGTTGTTTGGGGACCCAGAAAATAAAGGTAGCTAGAATTTCAATAATTAAAAAAGCATATTGGTGATGAAAATATTATTTTATGAGATTGCATAATTGATAATGAAGAAGATTATTTGATTTATAATTTAAAAAATGTTTTAAATTTATTTATTTTTTCTTAAAAAATTTAAATAAAATTATTTTAGAAAATTTTAATTAAATTTTTTTTTAAGTTTCTCGTTTTATTGATGAAATTCGATTATAATCAAATGTTGTAGTTTTTAAATATACCATTTTGTTAATTTTAGTAATTAAGTAGATAACACAGTAATTTAATATTTTATATTTTTTTATCCACTCGTAACCATCGAAACTAAATAAAATGATATTTAAAATAATAAATAATTATTATTAAAAAAAGATATATTGATAGAATTGATAACTTTAAAATAAATTATAAAATTATTATATTTTATGAGTATCAAACTATAAAATAAAAACGTTTATCAACATATTTAATTATCATAAATATGTTTTAGTATATTTTTTTATCTATAAAAAAAGCACATGTTACTCTTTCATTTGACTCTTCTATTAACTAAAATTTTAAAATTTTTTTAAAAAAAAATTCAATCACGTTATAACTACATTATTTTCAAATGTTATGTAACTATACTTTTTTATTATTTTTTATTTTTTTAAAAAAATATATATTGAATTCAATAAAAATAATTCTCGTACCTTTAATTATTATTTTTTTCCTATTAATTAAAATTTGATTCAACTTAAACTCAGTAATGTAAAGATTCAAATGGATTAAATTAAGGATTTAGTGAGTAAACATGCAAGCAAAATATAATTTGTGTGTATGTAATTGCATGCGAAATAGTTAAATTAATTAGAAGAAAATTATATTTGAAGCAGGGGGCCCGGGTTTCCTCTGGGACATTGAATATATTCGAAGTGGGGAACTCAACTCCTCATGCACAGGACAACAATCAGAAGTATTCGCTATGATATGATGACTGTATATAATATATATAGATATATATATATATATATTCATCTGGGTTCTCTCACATTTTTGTATATTTACATAATATATATATTATGTAACCGAGAAGAACAAGTTCAAAGTGGTTTTGGATTTCTTTCCCTTTCCAAAGGCAGTTTTGAGGTGTGTGTGTCTGTCTGTGTTTATATATATATATATTGATGTTAGGGTTGTTTTGGTATTATTTTGTTGAACAAAAAAAAAAGCGTTATACATGAAAGCATACAGACACATATATATATATATATATATATATATATATAAACCGGGGTGGTTTTTCCAGTTTTATATGGAAGAACATCCATCCATGAAATGCAAACAAAATTCACAACGTACGAATTGAACATCCACCAACCATTTCAACATAAAAATGGAATTTTACTTTTTTTAAAAAAAATTAATTAATTAATTAATTTATTAAAATCAAAGAAAAAGACAAGCAGATCCTAGCCGTTGATTTTTTAAATTTTATTTAAAAAAAAAAAAAAGAAAAAAGAAAAAGGAAAACCGCTGGCTCTGTTTAAAAATAGGCGCCGTGGTTTTTTCACTTTTCTGTGTGGTCACTGAATCTGATCCGTACCATAATATATATACATACATACACACACCAGTCTTGTCAATTAAATAATTAATTAATTTTTGTCAATTAAGTAATTTTTATTAGATATTCTGTCGCTGACTCGATTGTTGATATGCATACAGTATTACTTACCACTTTAAGCTGTACCATTCATATATATATATATATATCCACGTACCCATTTATTCATATACAAATAAAATTCTGATTGATCTACCACACTCAATTTGGAATGGTAAACTAAGCTTAATTAATTAATTAATTAAAAGTAAATTAATCTGACTAGCAGCCTCGTAGGCTTCGGTGCATTTGGCAGGACATACGGGAGGGCAAATTTTTTCAATCTGGAAATCATTATTTTAATTAAACCAATCGGTTTAAAAATTAATTAACAGCTTAATTAATTGATTAGGGAGAGTGTTTAAAGATAATCAGGGCCATGCGGGTGGTAGTCAGGTAGTTGTGGAAGAGGACAAGAAGGGAATTTAAAATACGTATGAGAAAGTTTTAAAGGCGTGTTTGGTGGAATTTAATTTGGCGGATGTGGAAAAAAAAAAAAAATTTGATGGGGGGAAGGGGGTTGCTTGAAAGAGAGTAAACATAAAGCCACTTGGAATTTCCAGTTTCGAACATTCACGTGGTCTGGGGTCGCCTTCTTTGTCTGCTTCTTCGCCTTGAGAAACGTGTATGTATCTCTACATGTATCCATCTCTATATATATATATATATATATATATATATATTTATATTCATATAAGTGCATCATTCTCCTTGAAAAAGAAGGCATTGAATTATATACAAACACAGGCATGTACAATATCCATGCATTGTAACTAAGAGGAGAAAAAAATTATTTAACAGAGTGTGTGTGTGTGTATATATAGATATATGAATATCAAAGTAGAATCAAATGAACCCAAGGTGCACGTGATTATAATGATTTCATCCGAACCTGATATGTTTTCCTTCTACATAACTATTATATATATATATATATATATTATAAATTGTAATGAATAATTTAAAAGAACTAATGATGTTTATGGAATTTACTAAATCTATATATATATATATTGATTTTTTTTTTTTTTTTTAGTTAGCAGAGATTGATGGAAATATATAACTTTGAGGAGGGAGATCAGAAGATGAATGGTACTGTATTGTCAACTTCAATGACTTTATGTATGTATATATATGTGTGTGTGTGTGTAAGATGTTAAAATTTGGAGGGTAGATTCAGCTGGTGTTGTGCATAATAGTTAGCAGGCTTTTAGGGTTACTCACATGCAAAAGATTCAGAAGAAAGAAAACGGTGATCTCTGCCATTAATGATAGTGGTCAAGAAGCCAAGAAGCAGAAAAAAGCAAACAGCTTTTGAGATACATAAGGGGACAATTTACGTGCCCCATCAAACTTGACTCACCACACAATAGTTTTCTCAAGTACCATTTAAAGCCTATACAGCAGAATATATACATATATATATATATATACACATATATAATTACATGCGGTGAAAAATTCTAGGCGATGCAGGATATAGACATGTAGCTTAACTTGTTTTATTCTGTGCTTTGCTTCTGCTCTTTTGACATACATGCATGTGATTTAGGATTTATTTTATGTCTATAATATACAATTATATATATAAGTGTATGTCTATGTAGTACGTACTATATTTTATATGTATATCTGTATGATATGTGATAATCTGCAAGCTCCGTCATCAATCGTCAAATTAGGCATGAAGACATGCAATAGGTTCATGTTTCTTTTGCATGTGAGTGCAATAACTAGTCTACTTAATTATATATGTCCTCCATTGATTAGTTTAAGAATTAATTTCAACAAAAAAGTAATTTACATTACTAATCTTATACTTTATTATTATATTTAATTTCGTTGAACCGATACTAAAATTAAATGACTGATATTTTTATCTCATAAGTCGAACAGTGTATCTATTATTTATCTTTGTGAAAAATTATAATACTATTAGTTACGATATTATCACAGGAAGAAAAACGACATATAATAATAGCTGAAAACTATTATTATAACGTATATTCTTATTGATATAGAATTTCATTTATATATTTTACGAGGTTTATATAAACGATTATATTAATTCTTAAAATAAAAATTTGAAACTTTACAAAAATAAATGTAAAAGTCTGAAACTTAAATAAAAATAAAGTTATAAATTAAATGCGGAAGCAAAATAATAGAGTTAGGGTTTACATTCCTTTCACAATAATTTAGAATACTCAATAAGACTACGAGAATATCTATTTTGAAAGAACAAACGAAAATTAAAGAAATAAATGAAAGACAAATAAATAAACAATCCTATGATGACATGCACTAACTCTTGAAAGAAGTTCGGATAGTGGACTATTCACAATTTTCTTATTAATTGAGATCTGAATCTTAATTCTCTTGATTTGAAATAGTTAATGAATGGGTGAGTTACACGAACCCAATAAAAATATCACACTAATCATAGATACAGAAAACTGAATATTGATAAAAATCAGAAAAATAACCAATGAAACTCTTAATTTAATGTAAATTCATTTACTATAAAAAAAATCATTTATTCCATTTTCTGTAACAAGACTTTTCCTATAAAAATTCATATTTATGCACCATTATCTATCACGTAGAGGATAACAAAAACAATCATTTTATATTTTTACCCACTTACCCGTACTCATGGGGGTCTATAGGGATGTTCTCTTACTCGTAAACTCAATATCCAAGTAAACAATTAGTCGGTCATCCCCATACCATGTTCGATAATGAATGTCAAACTATTCACTACCTCGATACCCCATCCGATATGAAAGTAAACTATATCTCTCAAACCTTACTGGTAAGGGACTTCTTAGCTCCGTCCGACTGAAGCAATGTTCACGGTAGGATTTTTTATGTACTGAGTCCGTCCACCCTTTTCTGAATACCCAGTAAGTCTTTTCCATACAGATTTTCATCAGTATAACAATCAATCATGCAATAACCATATCTTATTTTATACTCAGTTCATTTAAATAATAATATAGTTTAACACAGCCAAATAACCAATGACCAGAATACCGGCACACAATGCAAGGGAAATAAATAACAAAATAACCAAAAAGAATATAAAGACTATTAATTGAGTTACGAACAGTATAATAGTAAACAAATATAAGTAATATAGAAAAATAAATAGATAATCAAAACGACTATGAACTAACTAGTTCCCGCTCCACTAATAATCTGTAATTATTTTTAAAGTTCTATAATTTTTTATAAAAATATACAATTATAAATTATTAAATCTCAATTTACTGTAACAGATAAAATGGTGAGGAATCTTTATGCGAATCAGTGTTTGAAACACTGAACTTTCTACTCACCTACTGGCGGTTTCCGAATTTTTTGAATTATCCTTACCAAATCTAAAATACTTGTCAGGTACCTAAAAATATCTTAGGAATCCAAAATCGGTGTAAAAAAAATCATTTCCAGCCAATTTCAGGGTTCTAGCACGGCAGCACCGCTATGCTCCGGTGACGACACTGCCGCACGTGGGGTGGTTTACCTCGACCTGGCTATTTTCGGCCGGTTTTGGCCAGTTTCGACCGATTTTATATATATCCCTACGAAAAAACACATTTGGGGGCCTCAATTGAACGAAAAAAAAAAATCAAAAAACGAAAACCTACTAATTGTGGAGTTTTTCAGGTGCGATGGCTGCGCTGGCTCACCTTTACAGTTTGAAGTTTTTCTTCAATCAACCTAAAAAAATATATAACGGTGAACATAACGGTGAAAAAAACGCATTAAACAAAAAACATAAAAGGGTTCATCGGAGGAGGTTGTGGGTTTTGCCTGGGCGGCACCGCTAAGCTTCACCCGCGATTTACGGCTCAACCACCATTTCTTTTGTTTCGATTTGGCTATAGGGGTGCTCGGAATCAAATTCTGAGTAGATTGGAGAATTTTTACCTTTTTTAATGTCGAAGGTAGTTCCGGTGCGGCGGCGGTCAGCTCCCTTCTTTAGCGACTGGTTCTTCTTCTCCGGCGGGAGGCTGGCGGCTAGGGTTTGGATTCAGTGTGATGCGAAATATTTATACCAATCTTGCGTTAATCTGGACTGTTCATCGCATTTGATCTCGACCGTTCGATCGCGTTTAAAGAAGAAATGAATATGTACCATTCATCGCGATTTGATTTCGACTATCTAATCGCGTTTAAAGGAAAAATAAATTCAGGTCGTCTACGCGTGCGGGATCTATCTTGAGTTGTTCGATCGTGGGACACGCAGATCACCCGCGTAGCATCGACGTCAGCATGCCTTATCATGCGGCGTGCTCTGGTTCGTCGATGTTACTGACTAAACGGTCGTACGTGACAAACTTTTTCTTATTTGCACTCTAACTCTCATTTCTTATTTTTCTTTCAAAAACATCTCCCGAACTCAAATTTTCACATCTTTTTCCTAAAATTATTTTCAATTACATCCCTAACCTATTTTTTTCCATAAATTTAATAAAAAATTAAAATAAATTAATTTAAAAATAATTTTTTATATATTTAAAATATTAAAATTTATATATAAATTTTAACTAATAATTAAAATGTATGAATTTTTACTTCAAAAGATATTTAATATATCCTTTTTTCCATCTCTATATATACAAATATATATATATATATACATATATATATAAACGCACAAGATAATTTGTTTCTTCTAGCTCCTATGTCTCTATTAAAGTTGTTTATTAACTAGCTTCTAACCTAGTATATCGTATGGCAGTGAGAAATCATTTTTCATGGCCAAATTTGTTTTAATTAGTTGACTATTATGAATAAAAAATATGTTAGATTCTAAGGTATATAATATATATATATATATATATTATGAAATTTTCTTCTAATGCAAACAAAACCAAACTATTAGGAGAAATGATAGATTGGCTTTGATATTATATTATATTATATATTCCAATATAAAACCATATATAAACATTACAGATATTCACACTTAATTAATGTAAAACTACATCTCTTGTTAATATGCATGATATTAGAAAAACCACATGATAAATTATGTAGGATGAACAAGAACTTATAATTTAGATAGGGATAGAATTAAAATTAAAGCAAAACCCAGATTAAAATAAGAATTTTCACGAGATCTTTAGGGTTAAACAACTAAAAATATATATATATATATATACACGATAAATAAACAAAGTATCAAAAAGTTCATATGATACGCTGGATAAAAGGGTCGTTTAATGCACTAAACATTGAATATATATACACATATATATATATAAATAATTAAGACGTTCATGATAAATACATACTTTCTTGTAAATGCTATGTGGGAATTTTCTAGGAATTAGAGAGGAAACAGTCGCCTACATATATATATATATATATATATATATATAGTGTGTGTGTATACATAAGTGCTATATAAATAATTATTATGGAATTATTACAAAATGCTAAAAAATTATTGCTGAAATGTCTTTTGATTCTCCTAATCTTCACCTATTAAACACTTTATTTAGGGGCATTGTAGTATTTAATAATATTTTACTGTTATTGGCGTATGTGTAATTTAATTTGTATTTGATATATATATATATATATATATATATATATATATATAAAGGGAGAAGGGGGAGGGTGGGAGAGAGGGATTGTCTGTCTTGATGTTCAAAGAAAACCTGACACTTATGATGTTAACTCCATCCATTTTCGGTTAAGACAGAGTTGTGGGTCAAAGCTTTCAGGGCATGGAGGGTTTTTTTTTTTATTATTATTATTTAATATTAAGTTTTGTCTGTAATTGATAATTTGGGTGAAAAAAAGACATTAATTCACCTTGATAGAAAAGGATTAAACTTAATTAAAAATGAAATAAAGCAGATTCCATTTCCATCTTAGCCTTGATAGGCTCTGCTGTTGCTACACAATAATAAAACACTTTTTATTATCAACAAATAAATTACCATCAGGTATTTCTTCCACCTTTTTATATTTAAATCATCTCCTTTTCAGATTCTCTTTCAGGAACACAACACAGAGAAAGAGAAAAGGAAACGAGTAGAAGAAAAATGGAGCTGACCCAGGTAGGGTTCTTGGAGGAACTACTGGCTCCAAGAAGAGAAAGCTGGACTACTTTTGTTAGTGGCTTAACCGAGTTCTTCCCCAATGGATCATGGAGTTTTGATTCTCTTGAAGATAATCCAACTCTGGCTTCTCCAAATAATCCTTCAATGGCGGGATTTGAGTCCAGCTTTGAATGCCCTTTTAGTGACCAAACTTACCCTTGTTTTGTTGATGGGTTTACAGTGCCAGAGATTGAATCTTCCCCCTTTCCAGCTCAGGAAGATTACCCATCAATGGCGGATCATGATGATGAGCTAGTTCTTCTCAGTCACCATCACCACCCCGATCACAGCTTGGAAGAAAGACAAAGTACCTGCAAAGTGGAGATGGAACAGAGCAGCAACAATGTGCAGGTTTTCAACATGGGTTTGTGTGGAGGTGAGAAGAAGATCAACAAGAGCAAAAAGCTTGAAGGGCAGCCTTCTAAGAATTTAATGGCGGAGAGGAGGAGGAGAAAAAGATTGAATGACAGGCTCTCCATGCTCAGATCAATTGTCCCTAAGATCAGCAAGGTACTTCAATCTTCGTTTTCTCAATGTCCCTCGGTTTCACTAAAATATTACAATAATATTTTCATGTCTTTCTTTGGAATCTGGAAACTGTAATTTGACGGGAGGAAGTCTGTGAATGTACTTAACCAGATGGACAGAACATCTATTCTTGGAGACACCATAGATTACATGAAAGAGCTAATGGAGAAAATCAACAAGCTGCAAGAAGAGAAATCTGAAATGGGTTTCAATCAAATCAACTTAATAACCAATCTTAAGGAGCTCAAACCAAGTGAATCAATGGTGAGAAACTCTCCCAAGGTAAAAATAACCTTTTATTGCTGGAACTGAACTGACCTAGAAAAATTCAATCTTTTTACTGAAATCTACCCTGCAATGGCAAGCACAGTTTGATATAGAGAGAAGAGAAATGGATACTCGGATTGATATCTGCTGTGCAACCAAGCCAGGACTCTTGCTCTCAACTGTGGGCACATTAGAAGCTCTAGGACTTGAAATTCAACAATGTGTCATTAGTTGCTTCAATGATTTTTCACTGCAAGCTTCCTGTTCAGAGGTAAATAACTATACATGGGCTTGTTCTTTAAATCTGCAATTAACTTCAGATTTACAGTTTATAACTTCATTTTTGGACCAAGTTGATGTATTAACTTCAAGTTGGTGATGATGTTAGGTTGCAGAGCAAAGGACATTGGTGAGTCCTGAAGATATAAAGCAAGCATTGTTCAGAAATGCAGGGTATGGAGGAAGATGTCTGTAGAATTCAGAAAAAGAAAAATTGCAAGAAAAAGAAAATAAAAGATTGCTTGCTTAGCAGAAACTAAGGAGATGATGATGTGTTGAGTTTTTTTCTTCAAGGAATATTTTGCAAGTGAGAGTTGTAATAATCTTGTCTCTTTTTTTTTTTTAATAAGTTATTATTCATTCATCACATCCTTCTCATAGGACACATTATGGAGTATCTGCCTTCCAATTTGAGGTATCTTTTAATAGGTACTTGGTACTACTGTTCTCTGAAGAAAAAGAAAACTTAAAAGATTCTAAAATATGTATAGTTAAATAATTTTTCTCTGTTCTTTAAAAAAATACTACTTTTCTCTGAATCTATATAGACATGGAAGAAGAGTACTTTTCAGAATAATGCAGAATTCACATTTTTAATAAAACTACACATTTTGTAAGCTCAAACAAAATAATTGGTCTTTATTTTATTGCCAATCAGACATAACAACATCAATAATTGAAATTTGGGTTTGTAAGGGATGGTGACCCCCTTGTCTCTGAATTAAGCAGAATATATGTGTATATTATGTATATATATATATACATATGTATATATATTCCTCCACTAAAACAAATATTGTAACATCAGCCAGAACCATCTAAAAAATAGGAGAATATAAGCTTACATATTTGATAATACAATACATTAGATATGGTTTTCCTTTCATAATCATACAAAATTTTCAGTCCCACAAGGAAAATCTTATTACTTTCCCAATGAAGCTTACTAATCCATTTTACCTACTATTATCACATTTTAATATTCCTTCATTTTCAAAAACTCAATTTGCAAATCACGTAATTAGCAGATAACAGAGCAAAGCTAAGTGCAAAAAGCCCCAATAACAGTTCAAGTACTGCGGTCCTCTAAGGAATCATTTCCATCCTTCCATATTATGAAAACTTGTTAGTAGGTGTAAGTTGGAGAAAGGTAAAGGTTTCTTAACTATAACTTCAAATTGAAGGCTCAAATTCCTCTCTCCCAAAGAAAAAAGAAAAGTTAGGGAACTTGCCTTCTTCCAGTAGCCAAGAACTTTCACCTCTGGATGGAGGTCATAAGTTTGACAGATTGCGCAAACATAGTCCTGCTAAAATTAAGCTGTGATAAAAGAGAAAAGTTAATCATGTTCTCCTCCGATTTGGAACGGGCATTGAATTGGAGAGAGGTTTGAAATTATTCAATACAGGAAATTTTTGTTTGTTCTTACAGTAGGGATCATATGCCAACAGAACAATTATCAACAGGTTCTGCTTTGACATTGACATCCACATTAGTGTCCCCCAGATAAAAGTCTCTCCCGTCCATTCTTCCTTCCCCACCACAGAGGCCCCCCTCAAAATAGTATTTAATTTAGCCAGCACTGGCAAATAGTATCAGTCCAATAATCCAATCCAGGATGGTATCATAAGCTAGCTAACAACAAAAGAATTTGAAGCAGGATTCCCATCAAATCAGCATGGGAAAACAGTGAAGCACGATTTCCAATAGTGAATTTGCAAAAAACTACAGATCAAGGGTCCCTATAGCTACAAATTTGTGTGTTATCTTGTTAGTAACAGGTTTTTCCTACAACAACATTTGGTTAAAGGTCTAGTTCATCTCTGTCACCATCAGTATCGTCGTTCTCATAATCAGAATCCAAAGACTTGCTCACAGCATTAGTCTGTAAGCTTTGCAGCTGACTAATAACATCTCTCACATCAGAAACCGCATTCTTGGCAGCTTCAACCACATTGATTTCTTGAACATTAATAGGTCTTCTATTCTCTTTGCCAGACATGAATTTTCCTGCTATTGCAGGTTCTGCTTTTCTCTTGGCTTCCCTGCAATGTAACTGATCAATATACTTCTCATGCAAGGCCTTGTTTTTCACCGGTTTCAGAACTGGAGGGCTTACAAGTGCTGCTGTAGATAAACTGCAATATCTTGAAAACGGTCTCTTGCGGCCAGAAATTCCGTCATTACAATTTTGAAGAAATCCCTGTTTTTCCTGTAAGCCCTTTGGAGTCGAAAAAGAACTATTTGGCGAAGCTTGACTAGGTAATTCTGCGTTGGGTTCAAGAACAGAAAATAGATCCGCTTCACAAGTGTGGCTTACACTAAAATGCTTTTCTAGTAACTGTCTAACAGTTTTCTGCGGGAGCTGGCTCTTCCGTTTCTTGCAGCTATACCTTTTAGAATTTAGTTCAGGGGATTTGAGCAGTTTGCTTGCAGAGAGTGAAAAATGTTCAACAGGTGAAGAATTTAACTTCTTGTTCCTTGTACGAGGCTGAGGTGCAGATGGTGTTACAAGCTCTGAATGGACCTTATCAAAGCATTCTTGTGCAGACTTCCCAGGCACCTGCAATTAATTTCGTGCCATAAAATAAGCCCAAAGGTGTAGCTTGAAGCATTAGATAGAAATGTCAAACAATATACTGGCAACTAATATGCCTACTATAAACCATTTTTCTTTGGGTATGAAATTAAATTTGGTGGATGTTTATATTTATTAAATTTTATTATTATCTACCTTCAAACATAAAAAATGCTAACGATACAAATATAAATGTATATATATTGAGAATATCATTCACCATATTCCTGCATTCCAAATCGGAAATTGGCAAAATACATCATTTTCCCAAGAAGCGTGTTGTTTTTTTTCTCAAGGCAATACAAATTTGTCCAAGAAATTCATTTATAGGAAACAGCTTTAAAGATGAACAAAATTAAGGGCAAGAGATCTTCATGGTTCAACAAATTGTTCATTTCTAAGCTTTTAGCTCCTTGAACCTCCTATCCTTTTTACCTTTATACAAATGAAGTTGACAACCTATTAAACTACGATGCACCACCATGCAAAAGCAGAAACTAGTATAATTAGGGGATTCAATCTCGGTCTCTTTTGATTAATGAAAAACAAAACCCTGATAACTAGGTAAAAATTCTCAATATTTTCTTAATACATATGAGTTATATTAGGAAACTTAGTCCAAGCATAAGTAACGAAACAAATAATTAAAACTTCTCATGTTAATGGTAATTGAATAATAGCAAAATTACCAGTTTTGAAACCTTCTTCCAGAAAAGGGGAGTAGGCTTTGCAGTGAAGTATGCTCTCTGCAACGCCAATTCCTGCTCCTTTGTCCACCTTTGATCCACCCTGATACCTTCTTCACCATGCTTTATCTTCCTTGAAAACCCAACGTCTTCATTTCTTTTACATCCTTTTGTCCCTTTCCTCTCTTCATGGTCGGATTTCCCCACTCCAGGACTTCCATTGCTCCTAGTTCTATTACAATTAGCAACCATATCGGCATATGACTCCATGTCCAGTTTACCCTTCTTTCCATTTACAAGAAACTTCTTGTTCATATGTCCATTCATCAAACCAATGACAATCTCCCTTTTGCTACTGTGCTTCTCGATCTCTCTCTCACTCGACTTCATGCCCAATTGTGCCTTTGCTCCATCAGATAACACACACTTATTCATAGATTCATTCAGAGAACCAATAGAATTCCTCCTTGTCCGCCGTTTTAGCTCAGGTGAAGGTGCATCCACTTTTCTTTTTTCTTCAGCGGCATTTGGGGATTCCTTCGCAGGACTAATAAAACTCCTCCTGATCCTCTTCTTGTAGCCGCTAGTGTAAGTATCCACTAGCACAATTTCCACTCTTTCTCCATCAACTAAGACCTCCTTAGTCTTACTATCTTTCTTCAAACCTTCAACACCCACTCGAGTCATTCTCTTGTCATTCTCCAAGGTTCTCTCCTTTGAAGCCTGAAAGACCTTCTTATCCTCACATTCACCAGTGACACGTTTGCTCGATTTTCTTCCATCAGACAAAACCTTAAACTCCGTCAATTCATTCTCTTCCCTTCCAATTGAAAACCTAGGTGATCGCCTGAGAGTAAAAGCGGCATCAGGCAGACGGTTGATTCTCGGAGATCTCCGCGACCCGGTAGTCGAACTCACGCCATCTCTCGACCCAGAAGTTGATCTAATCAATTTCTTCGAAACATTCTGTGTACAACTCTTCGAAGTCCTATCCCAAGAATCGTGCTTCGCTGAGTTGAGAGGAGCATCCGGGTGACGCTTGCTGCACTTGGAGTCGCGAGCACTCTGGCCTGGCGGTTCTGACGAGTTCTTGCAAAGGAGAAACCTCGGGGATCTGCGGAGATTAGTGGGTGTCCGTGCGTCCGTGGCGGAACTTCTCTGGGACATTTTCGCAAACGATTGGCTGGTGCAGTTACGCATTTGGTTTGAGAGGGAAACTTGGCGGTGACTTTTTGAGAGTTCAAATTTTGATTGTCGGCTGACATGGTTGACCTTGACCAACCAACCAACTCTGTTTGGCAATACATTGGGCCGTGACCCAATTAGTTTTGGACCATGTTACAATAGTTTAAACTCGGTGAGTCAACTCATTGAGTTCAGAACTCGTTGACCTTGACTTCTAACTGTGAAACGGTAACTTATTTTATATTTTATCTTTAATTACCTAACTTGTTATGTTATTAATAACATATATTATTATTTATCCACAAACCATAGTGTATAAAAAGTTCTTATAAAAAATAACAAACAAAATATAGGCAACGCCTTTGCCATGTTTATCTGTTCTTATGATTATGCAACGTACAATAAATAAATCATTTTTTTATACTTTCTATCTTCGAAATATATATGTGTGTATATTCGAAATCATATAAATTAGATAAACTAGAAGGGATAGTCGGAAGAATCAAAAAATTAGAAAATTTTAGATATTACTTTGATTGTTTCTTAGAAAATATTCTATTTACATTTTGATTCTTCTGCAAATATTCAACTTTTATACACTTTAATAAACAAATAAAAGTTTCAATAGTTAAAAAATAAAAAATAAAAGTAAAGTAAAAGTTTCATCATTAAAATAAAAACTGATGTAATAATATGAACAGATGAATGCCCATTGTAGAACTAAATGAACTCACTTTCCAATCATATTCAGGAATGAATTTGACAACGCTACCAAAATATTTCCTGGTGTTAGCTGGAGTATTCGGTCATAAAGCATTGATGCCTTAAACTTCCTAAATCAGATGACACCTTCAGCCACAACCAAGAACAGCAAGCTGAAACAGAACCCTTTAACACAAAGGAAACTCAAGGACTCGACATGATATTCATCAAAAGCAGTCATCAATAACCTGCAAATTGAGATTAATGTCCTTAAATCGCAGATCAGAAGTGACAAGCTGGTTTTGGGAAAATATAAACATAAGACAAGAGGGAGATAGAACCATAGCCATCAGAAATTCAACTTCGGGAAAGTACATACATGATCAAAATCTTTGCTGAAAAGTTTTTCTTTTTTTTTTTTTTTCTACTAAACCTATCAGACAATCTCCTTTATTTCTTCTTCTTTTTGAGAACACGCTTCGGTTGTATGTTCATTTTTCTTTTTCTTTTTGAGAGCACTTTCTTTTGTATGTTCAAATATCTATATCTGATACCACACTTCTTCTGGCAAACCTTGAACAACAGTTAAATGGAATTTAATCACTGGCAGAAGCAGAAGGTTGTTGTTTACGTGCAGTAAAACCAGCAAACCAAGCTACCCTCATGAGTTGCATTCCAAGAATTAGCACCCACCAAGACACTAGTCCCCTAATTGTGTGAAGTATCCAAACTGGAGCAATTAGCTCAGCCCCTAGTTTCAAACCCCTCATCAACTGCAAAACTCGGTAAGCTTCATACACAACTGGGGTGACCAACCATACTGGTGACTGCCAGTGCCATGTCAATATTTCCGTGAGAATCTGCACAGACAAAAGAATGAGGTAGGGGGCCAAGAGAACTGCGGACGAGATCAGAGGAAGCTGGGGCTCAAGGAGGCCCTTGTGAGACGCAAAAAGAATAATTAAGGGGATGATAAATCCAGCCACAGTTGCAAATATATTCCAAAACTTATAACTGAAAGGAGGCTTGCTGATGCAGGTTTCTGCTGAGTTTTTGGGCCGTGCACATGAATCGGCCATGAGCAGGAAAAGAGTTGCACCAAGATTGAAGATGCAGTCAAGGCCAATCAGGGAAAGAAGACTGACTATATTGGGGCCAAGGAATATGGAAGATATTGGTAGCCATAGAGTAGGTACCATGCCCGTAACCAAGAGAATAGAAGGACCCAGTAGCCACATTGGCCATTTAAGAAACTGAGGCTGTACTAGTGGCTCATTACTAGTATGTGTAAGCTCTTCAGTCTTACTTGCTTTTTCCACTGTATCTTTAGAAGTCAAAGATTCAAAAATGTTGGTAGTATTTTCTAAGAATTTATCGCCACCATCCTCTGCAGAAGCATATATGACTGGTGAAGGTTCCCACTGGGGCAACGTTGTGCAGCAAACAGGGGAATGTCTCATGTGAACATGAGAGAGGGCAAGCACGTGAGTTGCCTTGGAGGTTTTAAACACCTTAAAGTTTTTCAGGATGACTTGAGGAACTACAATTGCTGACATTTTGCAAGGTAACTTATTTATAGTTTTCATTGCCTGGTTCATGGCTGAATCTTTAGTGGCGCAGTGACAATGCCGCACGGCTCATTTCCTCAATGGGAATGAAATGAAAGAATCGCCCCTCGAGCTTTGACTTTGCCTGTAGTGAAACACTTAGGATTCAAGGTATATCGGGGATGAAATGGAAGAATATTTGTTCAAGATTTGGTATTGTAACCAAGCAATTCAGTCCCACTAGATTCATTGGATCCAGAAAATCAAATCAGAATAAATCATGAAAAAAAAAACAGCACCCAAATCATAAAAACAATGTGTCTCTGTGCGTGTAGGCTATCTGTCATTTACTCAAACTGAAATCAGCATTTACATATAAATTGCCCCATGCATGTTCCCAGAAAATTGAATCAGTCAATCATTAATCCTCCATAAAGCCCTCTAACACCATAAACACATGCATTCTACATTAAAAAATAACACCATCTTATAACCAACAGGATTATCAAAGGCAAGAAAACTCAAACAGTGAAAGAGTAAGTCAATGACCTGGTGAAAATAAAATGAATTTCCCTGGATGAGCCATTATATGTTTTCAAAGAGTTCATAATTTCAACTTCAAGATATACAAATAACAAAAGATAATATTCCAATTTCAAACCAAATATATGAATAATTTTTTTAGTCAGCTCATCCAGCACAGATACATATCACACAACCACAAATTATAAAAATAAAAAAAAATAAAAAAAAAAACAGAAGAAAACAACAACAAACAGAGAGACTCCAGCAACTCAAACAAAATATCATCAATCCATAACCAGTGCAAAGCACAATCAAACAATAAATTAACCGTTAGATGCAAAGAGAGTTAAAATTAAACTACGGTTTCATGGATTGAGTATTTTCTATTTATTGCTTTTACCTAGTTATCTCAATAGCAATTAACAACATAAGATGATGAACCAGTATCAACTATATAAGTAAACCGATAACAGAAATAGATGCATGGCAGTTCCAGACGGTCCTTGGCAGGCGAAGCATATTCAAGACAAACTAAAATGAAGAAATACAGAACCAAAAAAAAAAAAAGGAAATCGAAGATGAGAAATGGTTTTACCACGGTAGACGGAATCGAAATTCTCAAACTGAGTAATAGCGGTGAAATTTCACGGTTTGCAAAGAAGAAAAGCCCCCCACTCAATCTCATCACGACGGGGGTATTTTCCCTATGGGGAGAAGAGAAAGAGAAGGAAGCAGGAGGGGCGGCTTCTGATTGGCTTATGTGCAGAGAGTCAGAGATGGAGGAGTGAGAAATCTGGAAAAGCAGATAATGGAAATTATAGTTTGGGGAATCAATGACGCAGAAGATGAGAAGGGGAGAAGTTTGAGGTCGGGAGCAGAGAGGCGAGGAAGGATGACCATTGGTGAGTCCGCTCTGTGGACAAGTGGGCTTGGGCCATGTTTCGGCCTGAGCAGAAAGAAATGGGTTTAAATGTAAATGTAAATGTAAATGTAAATGTAAATGTAAATTCAAATGCATAATTCACATCTAATTTTGTATTTTCTTTGCATAAAAGCTATGAACCTTTAAAATAAAATAATTATAATAATATAATTCAACAAAAAAAAAATTATCTATAAATATATAAAAAGACTAAAATTTAATACAGTGAAAGTGATATTTTCAAATTAATACTCGTATTAACTACATAAATAACCTCTCGTAATATCGATTTTAAATTACTCTCTCTTTCTCGAACTATCCTTCGATAACACGACCTAAGTGGTTAATCTTTAAGGATAAATTTATGCAGTGAAAGTGATATTTTCAAATTAATGTTTGTATTAATTATTAAAATTAAATTAAATCATATATGAAAAACTATAAATAAATATCGTATTAAATTATATAAAATAAGCACGTAAGTGTATCTGAATTCATAATGAAAAAAAAAATTTGTTTGTTTTACAATAGATCTTCTAAATTAATACGTAACCTTTTGAGTTATTACACTCTCTTTATTTCTGATGATGAGATACGAAAATATATAAAAAAAAAAAATTACGTATAATTTGAAGACCATAACTATCTATTTATAGATAAACCATATATATAAATTTTATATATTCATAATTTGACAAATCACAAAATTAAAAATTACAGATTTTGTATCTACACATAAAATAAAGTTCATACTTTAATTTAATGCATTAAGACCCAATATACCATTAATCGCATTGGATCACTTTTAACTATGTCAAATTAATTTGATAGTTTTTTATACACAGTAATTTATACATATAATCTCACCTGATAAATTTAAAACTTAATATTAACTACGTAAATAAACCTCTCATAATATCGATTCTAAACTATCTCGAGTATTAAATTTTACTTGAATTCTCGAATCAATAGGCCTTTCTTTTTCAATAGGAAAAGATTGATCATAAATAATTGAACTTAAATTTGGTAATGCACGAACATGAACAATTTCTATCAACTCAATGGATGATACGCACGTGCTCGCTTCAAAAACCTTGCTTTGCTCCCCATACTTCATTCTCATCACGTTTCAACTCACCATTATCTCTACGCATGCATGTGGCGGCATACGTAGCACGTACGGATTTCACATATATACTTGCATTATTTTTTATATATATATATATATCTATAAAATGTGTGGGTTTGAATAATTATATTATTATTCATACGTATATAATTATTAAAATCTATGAAATTTTTACTTTAAAAAATCACTTAATTCAAAGAAATTATTTATAAAAAATTTTATAGATCTTAATTATATTATAGGTTTTAAGTAAGTATATTTAAACCTCGTAATTTTTTATTATTATTTTTTATAATAGAATAATACAACAATCATTTATCATTGGTAAAACGTGTAGCATAATAATTTGAGATAATTCAAAAAATATCTCATGTGAATTTAGTGAGCTTCTCTAGCTAAATTACCACGCATATTTTTATAATTAAAATATGACAATCAAGCTACAATATAATTATTACTAAAATAAAAAAATTACTTAATTGTTTTTTAAAAGTAAAATTTTATATAAAATAATGTAAATTATAAAATATTTTTAACAAAAATTATAATAAATTACCCCAAAAAATATGGTTAAATACTCATATAATTATATTAAAACGTGACATTTATTTAAAAAATAAATAAGATTGCGATTAGATACTAGATTTTTTTATTTTTTATTTATTTTTTTATTTCTCGTGTTTTTTTAAATAATTAATTCTGTAATGCTATTTATTACTTTTAAGTTATTGTGTAAGAAATGTAAACTTTAACATTTTATTTCGTTTTTGTAATTACTATTATTTTTTATTTATTTTAAATTTCCAATCACGACAAGACAAGAAATTAAAAAGAAAAAAAAAAGATTAAAAAATTATATGTATAAATTGAGGTATGTGATTAGATTGTAATTAGACGGTATGGCATATATTCTTAAAAGACAAATTAGATGATCGTCCTCCACTAGTACATACATACCCAACTTCATCACGAATTTTGTCTTCTTCCTCTCACCAAATACATATTTATATTAGCATAATAAAGAATTTAGAATGTAGTTATCTGCCTAATTTTATGATTTGCCATTTACCCACTTCACTTTAAACCAAATGCTTTAGGAAAAAAAAAAAAAAAAACCCAAATACCTTTTTCCTATAAAAAGGAACAAAATAAATGTAACCCGTGATTTATTAAATCTTTCATATATTTATCCATAATTATCTATACAATAGGTTGTCAATTCAAGTTAGATTTTGTTTTCGTATATATATTAAATTAAAAAATTATTTCTATTGTGTTATAATTAGTATATATATATATATTATGTTTTAATTAAATACGTGAGTTTATATATAAAAATTAGTATGTATAAAAAATTATTAAATTAATTGGATATATTTAAAAGTGATCCGATATAGTTAAGTATATTTTAAATTTTAGTACATCAAATAAAACATGGACTTTTACATATAAAGATTTTGTAATGTATAAGTTTAAATTTAATGTAAATTAAATTAATTTAAATATATATTTTTTATTTTAATTTTGAGTAAAAATGAAGTAAATTTGATGGATGATGAAATTAAAAATAATTTTGAGAAAAATTAGTGAAAATTTGGGTTATGAGAGTATTTTTGAAAGAAAAATCAGAAATCGATTGTCGAAATATAATTTAAAAAAGTGTTGCCACGTAGGATGCCTGGTTAGCAGTCCCGATGAACCAGGACGCGTCGCGTGGCAACGGGCGCTGATGCGGTGCCACGCAGGAGGCCACGCGGACGATCCGCGTGTCCACGATCGAACGGTTCAGATCCGTTCCCGCAGGCACGAACAGCCCGGATGCATTCCTGCCCCAAATGCGATTTAACAGTCAGATTTAAACGTAATCATACGGTTCATATTAGATCACAATGAACAATCCAAATTAGATCACGATAAATAATCCAACTTCACTCCCTATTTAATTGTAATAGGACGGTCCAGATCAAACGCGATAAATGACCCTGATTAAAATGGAACAAATATAAATAACCTTCTTCACATCAAACTCTAACCCTAGCCACTAGTCGCCCTCGCCGGAGAAGAAGACCCAGCCGCCGGGAAGGAGAGCCACCACCTGCCGTCACACCGGAGCTACTTCTGACTGCCAAAAGAGGTAAAAAAAAATTTTTTTGCTTATAATTTAATTTTAAACACCTCCATGGCCAAATTGGAGCAAAAGAGTCAGCCGATTAGCCGTAAATCGCGAGTAAAATCCAGTGGCGCTATTGTGAAAAATTTTACAAAATGCCTCCGATGAGGCCCTTCCATATTTCTGTTCGGTGAAATTTTCCACCATTATGATCATCATTTTATTCTCTACAGGTTGACTTGAGTAAAACGCCTAACTGCAACGTGAACCGGAGGAGCTGTCGCACCGAAAAGCCCCGCCACTGGTGAATTTTGGTTTTTTTATTTTTTATTTTTGCCAACTGAGGTCCCTTAACATGTTTTCTCGCAAAGATTAATGCAAAATCGGTCGAATTTGGCCGAAAACAGCCAACCCCAGGCAGACCGTCACCGTGCCGGAATTGGCCAAAATGGGTCATGAGACTAATTTTGGATTTGCTTGGAACATTTGTAGGTACTTGTAACGCCCCATTTTTGTTTTCATATTGGACGTACTTAACAAGCAACCAATTCCATAACAAAACGGTCATACACAAGGAACCACTAACATAATCCATTATCCAATGATCAAGATAGTCCTACAATCATGGGGCAAGACATCGCACACAATACAACTATACTCAATATCTATACTACCGTCAATTCTACATATTCCATCCAGTCAAAACAAAACGAAACTCTTTATCCTGTACTCTACACACTAGGTTCGGAATCCAATAATTTCGATCCAGACTCCGTCCCTACATCATCTGTAAAAAGGAAACACTAGTACTATCCAATGATCAAGATAATCCTACAATCATGGACAATACATCGCACACAATACAACCATACTCAATATCTATACTATCATCAATTTTACATATTCCATTCAGTCAAAACAAAATGAAACTCTTTACATTGTACTCTACACATTAGGTTCGGAATCCAACAACTTCGATCCAGACTCCGTCCCTACATCATCTGTAAAAAGAGAAAGAGTGAGTTCATTTAACTCAGTACGGTAAAACTCAAAATACATGCGTGAGGTGCAACAATATAAAACCTTATGCCTCTACCAATAGTTCACTACTGAACTCCAATTTTTCCTCCTACACCTACAACTCTACCTACCATAGGTGTCCGTTCCCTGACGGCACTCCAGGCGTACCAGTGGTACTATTCACCGCCAAGATTTGGCAAATATTAACACCTATCGACCCCTAGTGGCCACGCACGCACACGAGTTTCAATCATTTTCGTCACCAATA